AGTTCCAGTCCTGCTTTAGTGATGAAAACAATCTGGGTGACTTTGAGACAATCACCAGGAGACTGGGAGTTCTAGTCCTGCCTTAGACATGAAAGCAATCTGGGTGACTTTGAGCTAATCACCAGGACACTGAGAGTTCTAGTCCTGCTTTAGGCATGAAAGCCAGCTGGGTGACTTTGAGCTAATCACCAGGAGGCTGGGAGTTCTAGTACTGCCTTAGACATGAAAGTTGGCTGGGTGACCCTGAGCCAATCAAAAGGAGACTGAAAGTTCTAGTCCTGCCGTAGGCATGAAAGTAATCTGGGTGACTTTGAGCTAATCCCCAGGAGGCTGGGAGTTCTAGTCCTGGGGTGCCTTTGGTCCAATCACTCTCCCTCTCTCAGCTCAACCCACCTCACAGGGTTGTTGTTGCTGCCAGGAGAACAGGAGGAAAAAGGGATTATTAGGCATGTTCACCATCTTGACTTATTTATAAAAATAACAGAAGTCAAATAAAATTCCGGTAGATAAAATAAATAAGCAAATATAAGAAAAAGAAGAACGGAAGACAAAAATGATGACGGGGGAATGAAGTGATTCCCGGCATTTGCAGAAACAAATATTTACCTGTTAAATGTTTGAGCTCCGGGGATGGAAATAAAAATAAAGCTAGAAGGGACCCCAAGTCGTTCGCTTCGGCGTCTGAAAAAAAAAAAAAGAGAAAACACGCCACCATGTTTTTCGTTCTGCACCTGAATCTTCCAGGGAGGACTCACCTGGATTTGACGGTGCCGCAGGTCCCAGTTTCCCTTCTTACCTTTCTCGCTCGCCAAGACGGACGAGGTGAGGAAGAGGAGGATTCCGCGGTCATTTAAATATTTGACAAGGGCCTGTAAACAGAGAGAGAAAGTGATTTTTTTTAAAAAAAATAAAAAAAATAGCCCCTTTCGCTTAATTCAGATTTAATTCAGTCTGGCTTCATTCAGGCCCATCAATCTCAGAATTCCACTTCATCTTCTTCACAATCTTTCTTCATGTGGAATATTGAGCTATAACGTGGCCGGTTTGGGGTTTTATTCAAAAATCTGTTGTTGGTTTTTGGGCAATGGGGGGGGGGTTGGAAGAGAGAGACCATCCTGGCTTATACAAGGAACTGATGAAAATAATGGCCTAGCGTCGTGTGCGAATGCTGCCAACATGCATATTTAGAATAGTTGTTTTTTTCTGAGCTGTGGTTTGTCTACCATAATATATTGAGTGTGACAGTATGTTATAATTGTTTATAACAGGGGTCTTCAAAACTTGACAGCTTTAAGACTGGTGGACTTCAACTCCCAGAATTCTTCCTCCACTCATGTTAGCTTGGGAATTCTGGGAATTGAAGTCCACAAGTCTTAAACTTGCCAAGTTGGAGGACCCTTGGTGCAGAACGACCTGCTAAGCCAGTGTTTCTCCACCTTTAGCAACTTCAAGATGGGTGGGCTTCAACTCCCAGAATTCCCCAGCCAGCATGCTTTATGATGGGTAGACTTTAATTCCCAGAATTCCCTGGCCAGCATGCTTTAAGATGGATGGACTTCAACTCCCAGAATTCCCCAGCCAGCAGGCTTTAAGATGGATGGACTCCAACTCCAAGAATTCCCCAGCCAGCAGGCTTTAAGATGGATGGACTCCCAGAATTCCTAGGCCAGCATGCTTTAAGATGGGTGGACTTCAATTCCCAGAATTCCCCAGCCAGCAGGCTTTAACATGGGTGGACTCCAACTCCCAGAATTCCCCGGCCAGGATAGTTTAAGATTCCCATGCTAGGGAATTCTGAGAGTTGAAGTCCAGCTGCCAACAAGGCTGAGAAATCATCAGGAGGGGAAAGACTTCCTAATTTTTTTAAATTCTTATTTTGCTGGGCATTTTTGGCGAATGACACATCCTGCAAAAGCAGACGGTGAATTCTGAAGATTCTTACGAGCTTACCAGGTTTTTCTCTTTCATGCTCCCAATGAGCTGATCTTTCAGTTCACTCTCATCTAATATTTCCACTTGATATAAACGAAACAACAACTGCTGACAACAGACTGCAGGGAAAACCAAGCACACTATAAAAAGGAAAGGAAAGGAAAGAAAAAAGAAAGACACCACTGAAAAGAAGCCAATGTTAAGAGTCCAATAAATCTATGATTAAGACACTCCTTTCGAGCATTGATGATGTTCCCTAGCTGGGTCATGAAACGTCTGCAAGAATACAACCAAGGATGCCACAGTATTATTAAGCAATGTCCATCCATTCCCTCCCTCTACCCTCCATCCATGTATCCATTCATTTATCCATTCCTCTCTATCATCTACCTATCTACCTATACCTACCAATCCACCTATCTATCTACCTATCCACCCATCCATCCATCCATCCATCTACTATCTATCTACCATCTATCCATACATTCCTGTCTGTCTGTCTGTCATCTACCTATCTACCAATCTATCTAGGGTGTCTGTCTGTCTACTGTATCAATCAATCAATCATCCATCCATCCATCCATGTATTCATCCATTCCTCTCTGCCTGTGTATCATGTATCTATCTATCTACCAATCTATCTATAGTATCTGTCTGTCTACTGTATCAA